ACATGAAGTACAAATTGCATCCATTTTTTTTTTTGAGAAGGCGCTTGAAAGACGAGATTGCCTTCTATATAATAATGTCTGTAAAGCTCTTGGAGTGTCAAACCACCTTCTCTCTCCTTCTCCCCGAAAGGGGTTAGGCACTCCAACTCCAAATTGTAGACCAATTTTTGGCAAAACAACTTACTCCAACACTTTTAGTGCTAAGCACAAATTATTATAGATTCATCAATTTAATACTTCAAATGCTAGACTGACTTCTCAAAAAAGCACCATGATGTAAAATATGAAAATATTGAAATTATTTTTAATTCTCATAATAAAATAGATTTTTATGTTAATTACTCTAGATTTTTTAGTTGGACTCTGTTTTATAAGTACGATCTTTTTTCAATTCCCAACCTTTAAAATGTATTCAATAAAATTTTGAATTGAAATTTTAAAAAAATGTATAGACTAAACTAGCATCATGTAAATAATCACTGGCTGAGTCTTATTTTTTATTTCTATGTAGGGATTGTCTACAAATAGACCATTTATCTTTTGTACATGAGGTCACAAGCATTCCCACTCATTAGATGTCAAATTGGATGGCTTGGAGTGAGTCATGAAGTTCGAGAAATTTTTTTAGAGACAATCTGTCTATTCAATGACACTCTTACAACCACTATTTTAAAATTTAAAAGATAAAGAATGATTGTGACCTCCATGTATAAAAGATAAATGGTCTCTTTACAGGCAATCCCTTCTATGTATGCTCTCTTTCTCCACTCTCTCTCTCTCACACACATACCAAAACATAATAATTTGTAATCAAAGAGAGCTTTGCCATATTGAGAGGATAATATACCTAAACAAATCCCAAACTAAACAAATCCTAGATGGAAATATTTCAAAATAAAAAGAAAAAAAAGTGTTTTGTGAGTCGACATACTCACTTGCCCCGACAATCACAAACATCCATCTTTAAGATGAACATTCACAACTAAAGATTCCTATATGGATAGGAAAATATTATAATAAAAATGTTTTAAATTTTCATTTTATTATAGTTTGTGGAAATTATATGGGGGCTTAAGTCCCAAAGATACATAAATACAGTTTCTCACATATTTATTTTTTGTATCCATGACCATCATAGTGTAGATCATGGATCACTACAAATTTGGATCCAAGATCAATACAAATAATGAGTGTTCAAGGGAGACCACATGAAAATAGTATGAGTCGGGGGACTCATAAAAATCGGCTCCAAAAAGAAAATCCTACATTAAGAATACCTTAGATGTAAAATGGGATGATTTGTATGGATTTTTTGGGTTCATATTGATATACATCATTATGGATGTATATGTATATATCTCTTGATAAGGTTAGGTATCTAGAAGATAGAGACCAAGTTATTTAGACATCAAGTTATCATATTACAATTATATCTTCTAATTGTCTGAATGTCTTCTATATATAATTATATCTTTTAATTGTGTGATTGTCTTCTATATATAGAGGTACTTCTTGATGTAAAGAATTATCCAAAATAATAAATATGTAGGCAGTTGGGTTTTGGATTCGTAGACGTTAGACTTCCGTTTGAATCACATAAATGTTGTGTTTATGTTGTGTTCTCTCCATTCTCTATTCTATGCTCCCACGATGAATGTTGTGTTCTCTCCATTCTCTATTATACGCTCCCACGATATTGTGTTCGCTCCATTCTTTATTCTATGCTCCCACGAATTCTAACATGGTGCAAGGTTCACGATTTGGTATTTTGTCTCTCAAGCATCGAGCTTTTGGTATTTCTTCTCTCAAACATTCCGTCTTTAATTCCGGTTTCTCAAATCGTGGTATCAAGTAAAACAACCTAGAGGTGAAGAGCAAGAAAGCATAGAGCGAGAAGGCGATGGTGTCTGAGGTCCTTTAGGGGAGAGAGAAACATATTCTAGTCCGTGATTCTTTCCTCAATTTGATTGGTTGTTTGGGGGGTTCCTTTTTGGGCATATTTCTTGTGATCCCGCTTAGCGATTTATGGCTTTTTGGGGTTTACGATTTATTCTAGTCCGTGAATCATTCTTCAAATTGGCGGAATTTTTTATCAGTTCGAGATGGGTCCTGTTTCTTTGCCACTTGGTTTTCAATTCCACCCCATAGATGAGGAGCTTGTCCTTTACTGTCTGAACAGGAGACTATGCGGTCTCCCTGTTCAACTTGATGTGATTGCAGATATTGATCTCTATAAATGCGAGCCATGGGATCTTCCTGATGTATCTCTGTTACAGAGCAGAGATAGAGAGTGGTATTTCTTCAGTCCAAAAGATTAGGAAATACCCAAAAGGAGTTCGAACAAAGGGGGCAACTCAAGCTGCGTATTGGAAAGCAACAGGAAAGGATCGGTGTATTTGTTCAAACTCCCGCACTCTGGGCATGAAGAAAGATTGATATATCACATGGGCAGATCACCAAGAGGGGAGCGCACTGATTGGGTAACAAAGCACAGGATTCATATGCGTTGTGCAAAGTATACAGAAAGAGTGGAGTTGGCCCTAAAAATGGGGAGCAGTATGGCGGCCCCCCTTCAAGGAGTGGCCTGAAGAAGCAAATGATGAGTGGTGGTGGTGAAAGTAAAAAAAAGAAAACGAAAAAAAAATGAAGTAGAGAAGAACAAAAAAAAAAAAAAAGATGAAGTCAACATCTCTAATGGATGAGATTGGATGAGATGTTTTAATGTATGGGTTGAGATGAAGTCAACATCTCTAATGTAACCGCTAAAAAAAATCCAGAGATTCTGGCTCAGTCCAACTACTATGCAAAGGGAAGGGAAGTTATGGTCATATTGATTCCAGAGTATGGAGGAAGATGAAGATGATCGAATTTCTCGATTGAAGTCGATGATCAAGAGTTTTGTCTCCAGATGAAGAGATGAAGATGATCGAATTTCTCGATCCTGGTTGATGATCAAGTTTTCCGTTCTTTGATCTTGTTTGATGATGGAGTTTTCCGTTGCTCTATCATGTGTGATGATCGTCGAGTTTTTCGTTATTCGGATGTTCCGAAGAGAGAGAAAGAAAATCATTTTGATGTTCCGAAGAGAGAGAAAGAAAATCATTTTCTTTTAGCGAGAGAAAGCCTCTAGAAAGAAAAAAACCTCTGAAAAGAGAGAAGCCTATGAAGAAAGAGATCTTTAGAGAAGAAAGTAGAGATAAAAAAAAAGGTTGTTTCTTGGAATATCTTAGAGAAAGAAAGTCTTTAGAAGAAAGTAGAGAGCCCAAGAAATGTTGTTTCTTGACGACCACAAAACATCTTGAGTTTGAGGGGGAGTGTTGAGATATATCCATCATTATGGATATAGATGTATATATTTCTTGATAAGGTTAGGTATCTAGAAGATAGAGACCAAGTTACGTGGTCATTAAGTTCTCTTCATTCTCTATTCTATGCTCCCACGAATTCTAACATGAGTGTGCTACTAACTACACTTGAAAAGATTTTTTTCTTTTTTTTTTCATTTTTTCAGCATTATTCCTCTAGTTGCTTGATTTCAACATTTAGTTACTAGGATTGATCGTGACCACCTTATACTTGAAATAAACAGTCGCATAGTATACAATCCCATACCTCTTTGTTTTGGATGAGGTATCATGGTGTACATCGTTTGCGGATGACAAAGTTTTAATTAGTGAGATTAGAGATTTTGTCAACACAAAGTTAGAACTTTGGAGGGATGCTTTAGAATCTAAATGTTTTAAATTAACTAGACTAAAGCAAAATATGTGGAACGCAAGTTTACCAATAATAGCTATAGAAATGAAGAACTAGAAAACTTTGATGGCCAAGAAATTCCTAAAAAATATTATTTTTTATATCTTGGGTCGATAATCCAAAATAATGGAGATATTGAAAAAGATGTTGTACATAAAATTAAAGCTAGATGGACGAAGTGGAGATATACATCTAGAGTTTTATATAATCACTGTATACAAATGAAACTAAAAAAGAAGTTCTACAGGACGAAGCTAGCCATGATTTATGGGAATGGGATGTTGGGCAGTCAAGAAATAACATATCATAAAATTAGTGTAGCTAATATGAGAATGTTGAGAAGGATGATTGGACAAGTAAAAAAAAAATAGAATCTAAAATGAATCCTAAGGGGCTTATGGGTTGCTCTAATAAGTGATAAGATAAAGGTGTAAACCTAATACAACACTAGTTGAGAAGAAATATAATGACTTACAGTCTAACTGAAAGTATGGGTCTTAATAGTACAAAATGACGAAACATGATTCTTATAATCAACCCCAAATAGTTGTGATAATCTGTGATAAAGCTCGGATGATGATATTGTACAATCCCAGAGAAAACCCAAAGTTCAGGGCATCTATAACCAAACCAAATAAAACCTACACCGTTAACTTGATGCCACAATCACGCACCTAATCCTAATATGTGTGAATATGCTTTTGTGCAGCAATCAAGCACCCCATCCTATTGTGTGAATGCGTTTTCAGAGAAATCTCTAGTTTGTAGCTTTCAACACACTGAAACCATCAAAGAGGTGGCAAAAGGGGCGTGCCAAAGAAGGAAACTGCACGTTTGTTTCCAACACTCGATGGTGTTAAACTCCAAAAAAAGAGCAAAACCAGATAACAAGAACTTCAAAATTTATCATGAATACTAAAAAGTGCAAAACTGCATACCAAAACCAAGACTGGGTTGGGCAAAACAAGTACAAAGCAAGCTTCACTCTACATGATATGTTTCATACAAGATCGCATAGACCATATGATAATCCTTGGCTAATATAACTCTCTTTTGGGAATCCCTTTTGACGTGGAATAAAGAGTTGATTCAGTACAAGCTTTTCTGTGCCCCTCCAACTTTTAACATAATCCTTGTCCAACATGAAGGAAATGGAGTTTTTTAACAACATTATCCCAATCCAAACACCACCCACACTGTTGTAATGCATATTTATATTACAATGACAATGTAGATCGATCCCATGGTGTCAACATCCTAACTAATTAAAACATTCACATGTATGTATACACTAATTTAAAGGCAACATTCTCATTCCATTACATGCAAGCTCATGATAGAATATTACAGCCCAGGCTCTGGCTAAAACAAAGTGAACTCCAATCTACAAATTTACAGATAGACCCAGGAAATACACATAAAACTAACAACAAAGATCTTCAATTCTCTAGGAAAAACATAACGTGGTCCCATGGACTAAAATTGCATGTGGCATCCAAGGCTGTATTCACCATCCATTCCGACTGAGAGATGGTGACTGCAACCAAATTGGTGGGTTCCCTTCTAATAATCTACAACCATCCATCAGCAGCAATAGAAGGTAGATGAAGCCTTGGAGTACCATATATCATAGTCCACTTGGCTGTGGTATATTTTCCCTAAACAAATAGAGGATGCACCTCTATGTATACAATGAAAAAGCCGGAAATCTTACAAGCTTAGTCATATGTACAATGTGAAGACCCACTTAGGTGTGACCCCTCAAATGAGGTGGCTGTTGTGACTGGTGCCATTCTTGTTCTTTAAGGTACTGTAATACCAATTGATGTTGAGACCTTTGGTCCAATCCACCACCATAGGCGTATGGATAAGGGTCCAATGCCTGATTCCCATCAAAAAAGCCCCCTCTCCTACCATGTGGAAACAATGAATTAGGGTAACGACCTTCTGTAGAATCTGAAGGGTTCACCCAAACATCGTAAGTACCCAACCTTGAAGCATGAAGATTCCCTAATGTCTCATTAGAAGGGGTTGAATAAGGGGTATAACCATATGGTTGATTGACTGTTGGTATATTGCCATATCTGGCCATTTCTCCCTGGTATTTCGAGTCCCAAAGCATTGGAAATGTTATCGGTTCCCTATGGTCCAAAGGGAAACTATCTTGATATCTGGCATAAGATGAATCAAAATCCCTACTAAAAGAAGCATTGGTATCGGCCATTGGTAACATCGGTGCAGAAGGAAGTGGAGCTGAGTATGGAGATGGATGATAATTAAGAACTTCAGATGAACAATAGAAATCATCAGCACCAGTTTTGTGGGCCAGAAATGGTGAGGTCCAAGGGTCTTCATGCATCGAAAGCCTGGCTAAGTTGGTAGAACAGATGTCCTCACTTACCCAACAACTTTTACTTGAAATTGGTACAGCTTGGTCTCCTGAAGGGCCCCCCTTTTTGTCTATTGGAAGAGCCCAAGTGCGAAGAGAAGGGGCACCACATCCATATGGCCTCAAAGTTTCTGTTTGTTCAAGCCGTGGTCCATGTGACTCCCCTTCTTCTGAGGACAAAGGAACAGTAGTGTGAGTAAATGGTAAGCTAACAGAACCCTCGGCATCGAGTACTTCGAACCTGAAAGACTCGTGTTGCTTAGAATCAGCCAAATCAGAAGAACCCAGGTAGTTATCAGCTTCATTTGTCCCCTCATTGTCCCAGCATGGAGGATAGGGAACACCCAATGAAGATGGGTTCTCATTCCTTGCTGCAGGCTTGAAAACTATCACTTCATCCTCTTCTTCTCCGTGGATAGAGTTCTCGAGGGCATTGGTTTTCCCAGTTGCAGAATAACTCTCATGTTTCTTCACTTTGTTTTCTGATGTGTGAAGAGGACCCAAATCTCTAGTATCTCTCACTAACTCGTCCCTGTTTGTTCTCACTGATTCATCTGTATAAAAAATATTTTTTGACCCATCATAATGAATATACTTTGGGTTTCTATCTGTTGTATCAACAATCTTTAACGCAGCAGTGAGAATACGACTCTTCCGAACCTCATTTTCATTTTTTTGGGTAAGTAGAACCTCATTTTCATGACCCTCAACTTCCACCCACACAAATTTCGAGAAATCTAGTGACTCAAAATTAAGCTTAAGAGGCAAAAAGCCATAAAGCTCACAGTCTTCCCATAATGCAACATGCTTGGAAGTTCGAGAGTTAACCAAAGGGTCTTCAACCCCATCTTTAGGGCAACTAATCTTGTTAAGAAGAGCCACTAAGCATGAAAAGAAGTAATGGACTGCACCTGAACATTCCGGGTCGGCCTCATTCATTGTTTCCATGTTGGGCTTGCACACTAACCACTCTAAGAAGACCAAGATAGCAGGCAACAGGGGGCTCTTGTGCATGGCATCATAAGCCACACATCTATGGATGATGCGAGCCATGCATCCGAAAGCAGCATGACATGCTGATGTCATAAGAGTTGGCTGATGTATGTTTTCATCATGTCCATGTGATTTGGGACTTTGACCCACGTGATGCAAAGTGAAGATGAGTACACATACAATCTGCAGAGGTCGGAAAGAACTGCTTTTAGCTGCTTCAATTTGTACATGGCCTTCTGACTTAAGCGCCACTGTCAACTGTTCATCGTTAAGTGAGAGCAAACTTTCCAATGCACTTAGAGTTGAGGCACATACATTGTGAAATTCCTCCAACCTGTCAGACATGGACAGATATGCAAAGACAGAAGATCGGTTAGCAGATTTCATTACCAAGCCATCAGCAAGAACAGCTGTAGTAACTAATTCAGCACCACTTTTGTTATGTTTGAATTTGTATATTCGTCATGTGAGGTTTCTCAGTTACTTTACCAGATATTTACGTAACGAAATGCAATATTCCTTAATGATGATCTAGTTGCCAGAACATTTTTTTTTTAATAGATGAAGGGGCGATGAAGTTGGTAATGTCCACCGACCCTCAATGACTACCACACAATTACACCATGCATGAGAAGAACCAAAAAGATGAAACATAATAAAAATTGATAGCCTCATACAGCATAGCACCTAAAGCCTATGTAGCACTTTTACTAAGAAATTTTTGATTCAGCCATGGCAAGGAAGAAATACCAATTATGAGTCGACAAACCCAAAAAAAAAAAAAAAGCAAGCCAACAAAAAAAGTAAAGTAACGAAACCTAGATTAACCAAGCATGAAAATACAATGGATACATATGCACACAACTAAGTGCAGCTATAGATGAAGACGCAAACATAATTGTTTTGTTTTTCTGTTCTTTGCAGAAAGATCAATAAATGAATAGATATAGTATGAAATTGCAACGTAATCCTGCTAAAGATTTTCAATACAACAACTATGATTGCAAGGTCCTACCTCGAACTGAAAAAATACATGTCAGGTCAATAGCTTTCAATGCAAAAGAACTACTAAATAATCTCAAATGATATTTACCCTGCTTTTGTGAAGATTATGCTCGTCATTAGAACAAAACGACTCCAGAAAATAGTCTTTGGCTTGTATTTGTTAAATTCCAAATTATCTCTAACTGCTTCAAGTATATTGCCTCGTGATTTATCATATACTTTCTCCATTTCAGATGATTTCAAGTGTCTGAGAGCTATCTCCTTGACAGTATAGTCCTGTGAACGTGGTAGGCTATTCTGTGACAATATCAATGAAATAACATGAGTCAATACAATTACAGGTCCTAGTTCCTACTTTCCATATTGAGAAAAAGAGAAGATACAGCAAGACCTCATTGCTGAGATGCGTTATACTCTTTAAAATTAGCCAGAGAAAAAAGTGCGAGCCTATCAGGCTTAAAGAACAAGTCCATTATAGAGGTCAGAGGATACAATATTTTTCCCCTTTCTGATATGTAGACTACTGGATGAAATCAAATAAATTCCGGACTAATTTTATCAATCAAGACTTTCAGCATTTGTAAGAACCTTACTAACTTTGGTTTGATGTATCAAATTCTTAAGTTGGCCTTAAAAGCAATCACCGTGTTCCACGGTGTCATTTATTATTTATGCAATCACCTGCTCTCCTCAGTATGAATATAAGCACCCCGGAAAGTCAAATTCTTGAATGATTTATCTTAACCTGAGATAGATGTACGTGAAAGAATGATATAAAATGCTAGCTTATGTGATCACATATAGTTAGCCTTTCTTCCCCCCTTTTTTTTGGCGGGGTGGGGGTTCAGCCATAGGATTTGAACATGGAACATGGTGTTGCAATTGTCAACACACCAATAAGCCCAAGACCAAAATCCAAATCCTAAGAAGTACTTTGTAAGCATTTCTTATTCCACATTGTGTTGCTTTACACCCACCCCATATACATTTGCCCACCCCCTTCATCCCACAAAGTACGATATTAAAAATATAAGTGATGAATATGGCATATTCATATTATTTCTCATCAGAAAATTTATTGCAACTAATGAAAAAACTGTCATATGCACAACATAATTATTTGATTCATTGTGTGTCTTTTGCTTGCTGCCCACCTTTCTTGCTTTGTGGGCTATGGATTATCATTTGGTGGCCTGCTCAGTGTAAAGACCATTCTCCTTTTTGTATAGCACTAGGATAATCCTATTTTTTGTGAGCTGTACATGTACCCTGTACATGGGTGAGTACTCCCTTTGTAATCTTGTTTTTTAGTTTCAATACAATACAGTTAACCATCATTTCAAAAAAAGAATAGTGCATAGAGGAACTTTCTTTTCTTAATGAACTCGCTTGTGCATATGATATATTATTCTACAATCTCGGAATATGGATTATCTGTAGCATAAGCATGCTGAGTACAGCACTGCAAAGCATTAATTCATCAAGTATGGGAAAGTAGACCTTAGTCCAACTGATTAATAGACTATGATACATGGAAAGCCAAAGTGATAACCACCACTCATTCCCACTAAAGGATGGTTGATGATAAACTGGCCTAGGTGGATTCCAGGGCCCTGCGGATTTCCAAGTGGCCCTACTCCAATTAATCTCCAACCATCCATCAGCAAGAATGGGTGGAGGGTGTAGCCCTGGAGCACAATGTACCATAGGCCATTTAAATATGGAACACTTTCCCTTCAGATATTGAAATAAGAGAAATGTTAAGACATATAGCAACGAGCTAATAATAATAAAAGTGGAGAACGGCAACACGATTAATAACAGAGATGCACAGTGAATGAAGTAGAAAAAGAAAACAAGAGTCTAATCCATACCTTCTCAAACAACAACATGAGGTTATCCCATGCATTAAGAAAAGGTGATTCAACTGCCAGACTTCTGACACAGTGATATAGGGTTAGGAGCTCATCACTGACATACGTAGCTAAAACAGCCAACTGTAAAGAAATAATATCGGACACTGAAAATCCTTCATATCAAAAGAAAAAAAAAGAAGGAAAGTGCGTTTATCTGAAGAACTTAGAAAGTGGAATATAACAATGGAAAGAAATTATTTCCCCAAAAAAGAAGGGAAGAAATTTTTTTTACCTGATTATGTGGGTTTCCACTAGCTGGCCAGAGAACTGCAGCACGTGAATAGTAGCAGGCTGCCACCGACCAGTTGTGATTTTGGATATCCGGATTTCCATAAAGTTCTCTATAGCGAGCTAGATCACCAAGATAAATCAAGCATCGATGACAAGATAATCGATACCTTTGAGTATCAGCTGACTCCTTCCGACTGTAAAAGTTAGCCTTGCCAAACATTAAAAAATTCTTTGTGAACCCAATACTTTCCCCAAGTTTCAGGATCAGTTTCTCGTAAGATTCCATGGCTTCTGACAAGAAATTTTTGAACCCATCCAGAAGCTCATCAGTTGAACCTTGGGAGTTCAAAGGGTTCATACACTCTGCATGAGAAGTACTTGCCTGGATTCTGTTACGAATTTCTTCTATTTGCTTATAGTGCAGCCTCCAAAGGGCATGCTCAACATCTTTAATGGCAGCAAATTCATGGTCTTTGAGAATTGTACCCTCATAACTGATACGTATCTTTCGGTGCAGTTCTTGAAGCTCAGGGTCCAACGGACCCTTCAAGTGTATCATAGTCCACAACTTTTTCTCTGCTTTGACAGCCTAAAAGAAAGGTGGATAGTTAGGGAAGAGAAATAATTATTAAGAGCCATGGAGATTAGTCCTAGCAATTCCTAATGGAAGCCACATAATTAGGGAACCTTTGTCCAGTGTGTGTACTACTATTGAAGGAAGTGAAACCCACCTCTGCAAAGCATCGGTAGGCATCTGCCTTATCAATCTGAGTGCTTTGCATCCTTGAGCTGATGATCTAGTCCACAGGAAGTCACCCCTATATCCAAGACATTAAAGACAACTTCATATCAGCAATTACTCTCTAATGTAGTAGGATAGCTTTACACACACAAACACCCACACATACACAAGTATAGTACAATGTACTTAAATTTGGACATTAAGGTGTGTCACTCTTAATGATAAAATGTTATGTTTAAAGTTTGCAAATGGACAAGAATAGAAATTGAGAAACTGATGTGGATTCGACAAAAGTACAAAATTCAACATGTAAAGAACTGCCGGCCAAATTTATTTCAAGAAACCTCAGGTTCAGTATAACTAGATGGTTCAGTAGAACTAAATATCCGAAATATGTGTATCACAAGAGAATTGAAGATAACAGTAACGAATAAAGTAGAAAAACACAACCAAACAATTTTAAAACAAGCCAAATTATGAGCCATATTTCTTAACATAAAACACTCAATTATTTAGTGATATAAATTAATTAGTACTTATTTTGGCAAGTTATTTGGGGGTTGGGGACACCACAGAATCTATTACTATAACATGAACTTAGAATTAGTTCCAGAGCATGGTCCTATTAAAGAGGTTTACAATCACCGCTCATTACAAAGTACATGAGATAAAAAACAAAATCATAGCACAAAATTCCTGATCCTCATAAAAAGATGATGGAGCAGCCCCTTTCTCCATGTCGTGACTCTCACCGAGTTTAGTAATTAACCCAACTAATTTTCAAAAGTTAACCAATACTTCACATCCAAACACAATGATAATGTGAGATAAACCATATTTCACAAGCAACCTTTTTTTATTAAAAAAGGTTTCGTTACATTTTATACTATTTTACACGGATTCTTCTATTTGCATTCTGTACCGGTGTTGGATGTGTCGACACACCTACTCACCCAAATTCCTCTGGATTATTCTTCTTATTTACTAACCATTGATTACATCATTTCAGAAGATAATCTTTTTTATTTTGAAAATACACATGTGAACTTGAAATTATCTATGACATCATTTCAGAAGATGATCTTTTTTATTTTGAAAATACACATGTGAACTTGAAATTATCTATGAAACTCTGAATATATCTACAGATTCATCCAAATATGGTACAATAAATTTTATTTCGCTACTCATCATGACAAGCAATTAGTAACATATTGGTGGATTTGGTTGTCCCTTCATAATATAGTCATGTCACCAAATTCTCTTCTTCATGGCATGAGGAATGTGACACTCCCTACATATGTCTTACACTAACACATGTACTTGTATTAATGCAACACCGGGTTTTGAATATTCATGCATCAATTTAAATAGAATGCCACCCAACAAGATGGATATATATTAATAAAATGGAAAAGGGGAGCATTGGTGCCACTGTTTTTGGTTTTTGTTGTACCTGTGTAATCCGTTCGTGTGGTGTTTTTTGTTTTTTGGTACTTTTGTATAATTGAGGTTTCTAACCCATTTTAGATAAGTACAAGGCTAGTGTGCCCACATTTTTTGATGTAGAAGGTGCACAACAAGTGGGCTGCTATTTTTGCTAAGTGTTTGTATAAGTTTTCAGTAAAGACTGCAAGGTTATTCCAAGAGAGAGTTTGACTACCCAACATACGCTCGTGGTTATGGACATCTGTAAAAAAACATGGAAGAGAACATATGAAATAAATAGGTGTCCAAGAACTAGGTGGTGGAATTTAAAAAATGAAAAAATAGACTTATTTAGGGATAAATTAATTAAAAAAGGAACATGGAACTCTGATCATGAGGTCAATGTTATGTGGAATGAGATTGCTGATTGTATTAAGAAAGTGGCAAAAGAAGTTTTAAGAGACTCTAGGAAAAAGAAATTCTGAAAAGAAAACTTGGTCGTGGAATAATGAGGTTTAAAAGGCCATTAGCAAAAAAGCGATCATGTTATAAAACTTGGCAGTGTAATAGAAATGATCAAAACTTAGAAAAATATAAAAATGCTAAGAAAAAAGCTAAACAAATAGTAAGTAAAGCTAAATTTAAAGCATATGATAATCTATAAAGTAAACTAGTAACAAAAAAAGGTAAAAAAAATGTCTTCAAATTAGCAAAAAATGAGAGAAAAAATGTAGCGATCTAGATCATATTAAATGAATTAAGAGTGAGGATCAAAAGGTCAAGGTGAAGGATGAAGATGTCAACAAAAGGTGGAGAGTTTATTTTCAAAAATTATTAAATGGCAAACACAATGGGAACGTAGCAATAGAAGAACCATTAGCATAAATGAGAGCGGATGTCATAGATACATTCGTAAGATTAAGATATCGGAAGTGAAAGAAGCTTTGCAAATGATGAAGATAGGAAAGGCTTTAGGACCAGATGCTATCCCGATAGAGGTTCGGAAGTGTATGGGGGAGATTGACAATGACTGGCTAACCAAGCTGTTCAACAAGGTGTTGAGAACAAAGAAAATGCCAGATGAACGAATGAAAAGTATTGTGGTACCTTTTTGCAAAAACAAAAGAGGCAAACAGAAATGTGCAAACTATCGAGGGATCAAACTTATGAGCCACATTATGCAGCTCGGGGAGAGAGTGATTGAGTAAAAGACTAAGGCATGAAACGAGTTTATCAAAAAACAAATTCAGTTTTATACTAAAGAGGCCCACAAGCGAGGTTATTTTCCTACTTAGGCATCTGATTAAGAAGTTTAGGGCGAAGGGAAAAGACCTCAACATGGTCTTTATTGATCTAGAGAAAGCTTATAATAGAGTACCTCGATATTTGATTTGATGGGTGTTGGAAACATCGACTTGGTGAGAGATAAGTACGATGGAGCGCAAACTAGTATATGAACAACTACTGGAGAGACGAGTGAGTTTTTAGTGACAATAGGTTTATATTAGGGGTTAGGATTGAGCCCACAGCTCTTTGTCTTAGTTATGAACGACTTAATTAAGCACCTACAAGATGAGGTACCGTGGTGCATGTTGTTCGCAGCTGACATGGTTTTGATCGAAGAGACTCAAATGGTGTCAACATAAAGTTAAGACTTTGAAGGGATGCTCTAGAGTCTAAAGGTTTTAAAATTAGTCGAACTAAGAGAAAGGTATATAGGATGTAAGTTTAATAATAATAGGAGTAGAGATGAGGAAGTAGTTAATATTGGCAGTTAGAAAATACTAAAAAGAGCGTACTTTCAATATTTTGGGTCGATAATCTAGGAAAATGGAGAGATTGGGGAAGATATCACACATAGAATTAGAGCTAGGTGGGCAAAGTGGAGATGTGCAACCAAAATTTTATTTGATCGCCGCATACTAATAAAGCTGAAGGGAAAGTTTTATATGACAGTTGTGAGGCCCACTTTGCTTTATGGAGTGGAATATTGGGCGGTCAAAAAACAATATACTAATAAAATAAGTGTAGCGGAGATGAGGATGTTGAGATGGATGAGTGGCAAGACAAGAAGGGATAGAAATCAAAATGAATACACTCGGAAAAATTTAGGTCTGGCACTAGTAGGCGATAAGATGAGAAAAAGTAGACTTAGGTGGGCTGGCCAAGTGTGGCACAGACTCATTACAGCGCCTGTTAGGAGATGCGAGTTAGTTCAAGTGAAAGGCTAGAAAAGGACATGAGGTAGGCCCAAAAAGATATATGATTAGAAGTAGTGAGAAAAGACATGGGGACTTATGGCCCTTAGTAGAGCAGAATGGCGGATCAAGAATCGTGTAGCTTGGGAAAAGGCTTTGACGATGATGATGATGCTTGTATAAGTTTTTAGAGAAACAATCATTAACCTTAATTATCAAAAAAACTAACAAACATAGTTTCAGAATTGCTAGGTGGGTCCTAGGCGGCCTGGGGGGTTTAGGCCGCCTAATGCCTAAGTGGGCACCCAAAACCTGGGCGGCCCAGTTGAATACAAAAAAGATTCTACAATTATATATTGTATAAAATATAAACATTAAGTATTTAAGGCACATCAGAATTCAAAGTATACTACATATTAGCACACACTCCATAAGCATAACCAGAAGTCCGTCCATATCCAACTAAAACTTAAAATTTACCAACCAAATTACCAAACCAAAGTTACCAAATACCAGAACAGTGAAACTACAAATCCACTATCCACAAGACCACAATACACAACCAAGAGGAAGAAAACAAAAACGAAATTAATACTTGAAGAAGCAAAAGAATCTTCAATAGTTCAATCAATGTTCAAAGTTTAATCATTATTCAACATTCATCATTCATCATCAGAAAAAGTAGGGTCAGTTGCATTTGCATCATATTCATCGCCATCGGAGTCGTCACCCTCCTCGACATATTGGTCATCCTCCTCTGCCTCTTCTGAATCTGCCTCTTCTTCCTCCACCCTCGTCCTCTATGCAGAAGATCTAGTGGCCCTAAGAGGGTTAGATGATGTCCCTGAAGCATCCATGACCATGTCCCATTTCAATCTTTCATGCCCCTCGACCTTATCATCATCAACTAACCACTCCATAGCATTGTCCATATTTTTTTATCTGATCGGGTCTCTCTTATCTCTCTTAGCAAACATGTCCTTCAAGAATTGATTATACTTGACATAGACTAGATCATTGAGCCTCTTTGATTCAAGCATGTTCTTTCTCTTTGTATGAATCTAACAAAATTCAAATAAAACTAATTAAAATCTATGGTTCATGTATTATTAATATAATTATACAAATTACCCTTATGGCCTTACCCCTTCAAAAGTACTCGAATTGCGCTCACAACCGGATGAGGAAGTGGTTAGGTTTAAGATCCAAATGGCCAACTTTTGTAAATTTGGAGAACTACACCCATGTTGGCTCCACCAATTGGCTGCAAAGATATAGAATAAAATCATAAATGAGTAATAGAATTATAAAAATGAAACTTGATTACTTGAACTTGATGAACTTAAGAATATTATTACTATCGGGATCAATTTTGTTCCTTTGCCTCGTCGCCATTGGACTCCCAAAAGGCTTTAATAAGTACTTGTAATTTATCAGCTCATAAGCGTATTTAATATCCTGGATATCAGGATTAGGGACTAGAACATCTACACACTTATTAAATCCAGTCATAATTGTGTCATTTGTGTGTATATCCTTGTCAACATTAAAAAAAATTGGGTTCAAATAATAACCAGCTGCATGCAATGGCCGATGTAGCTACCTATCCCACTTCTCATCAATAATCTCCCAAACAGGCTTGTAGCGGTTCTCATCATCATCAAAATTTTGAGCTCTCTCTCTTTTGCATTTCACCATTGCCTCATATATGTAGCCCATAGAAACCTTGTCACTATCAACCATCCGAAGGACTTTGACGAGAAGAAAAAATACCTAAAGAGCGCCCTTCACCCCTCTTCAAAAAGCCTTAAAAAGGATAATATCTCTCACCTTCTTCCCAACCTGATCCTTGGACCACTTGCATGCTCTTCAGTTATCCGAGGTAAACATCTGCCTCAATTGCACTCTCCTCGAATGTATATATCTAGGCATAAGTACCAGGTCACAAATCTCGTGACCCCAGACCTTACAATCTCTTTCTTCTTTGTAATTTACGCATCATGCTGAGGGCGAGATGGTGGCCATAAATGAAATTTGTAACTGACTTTGCCTTCTTCACTGCACATGATATCTCAGTCAAACCACCAAGAGCCTCAAGCATGAGGTCTATACAATGTAGTGCATATGGTGTCCAAAATATTCTAGGATAAGATATGCACAACAAATTAGCTACAGCAACATTAGGAGTAACATTGTTTGTGATAACCAGTATAACAAGATGCTCCTCAACCCCCTTGATTCCCTTCTCTATAACTTGAAATATGTAATGGGCACCATGAATATGATCAGAAGCATCAATAGACCTCAAAAAAACAGTCCCTAAAGGACAATTCACAAACAAATTCATCTGACTTCTTCTCTTCCTATCACTCCAAGCATCAGTCATAATAGAAACCCCATACTGAACCCATGCATCCTTCTTAACTTCTATAGCTTCCTTCGTGACACTCACCGCTTTTTTCAAAAGAGGCTCTGAAAGCTCATATGGGGTTGGGGGTTTCATGCCAGGCCCAAATTGGCCAATTGCCTCTCACAACATAGAAGCTGCTTAGGCAAGCGGTATTGAAAGGAATGCCCGCCTCATAAAATCATGTAGCAACATAATAGGCAGTTCTATCTCTCTCTTCCTTCTTCATTCTATTTTCAATGGCAGTTTGCTTCTTTGTTTTCTCTCCTGCAACCTCAGGGTCAGGCCAAGGCAAAAAACTATCCATACGGCCTCTGCCCCGAGGCTTCTTACTCCCAGAACCAGAAGCAATTACAACTCTCTCTTCCTTCCACCTAATAATGGATTGTTCTACCTCTTGACATCCCTCCCCAATCCCATCCTCATCACTATCATCATCATCATAATTGACCCGAACCCCAGACCTAATCTCTGATATGGAGGCAAATCTCTCATCTTTTTTCATTTTTACCATACTAAAAAAATTGGTTATTTCCTCTTTAACAATATCAGGAATCTTTTTACATGGAACAACATCCCCCCCAATACCGGTAAGATGTTTCTTGAATCGATTTATGTCCCTTTTTGTATCCATCTCACGAAACTTGCATCTTACACAATTTTTATCATTAGGATCTGGGTTGTAGCCATATTTCCAAACGGGATCACCACTCCTATTAGATCCCAAAGAAAGTATCTCAAAATAATACAACTTATACAAGCAAAAAAAAAATCACTTACTTTGATTGCTCATTCTCCAAACTTCCACCTTATAGATGCTTCTAAAGAATCAAAATCTTCTAAAAAACCCTTCAACAGATTTATAAAACATAAAAAATTAAATCTAATATCAATGGGTGATGTTTTGATCAATTTCTCATAACTTTGAGAAACCCTTCGATCCTAAAGAAATCACCAAAACTAGTTTTATGGGGGATTTCTCTCTCTAAAATGGACTCTAACGAGTTTTAGGTTTCAAATGAACCCCAAACCCCCATTTTCGGTCCCTTAGTATAAAAAAAATGGAAAACAATAGCCCCCACCAAAAGCATTTTCCGCCTTTGGGCGGCCGCCTAGGCGATTTCCTGGGCGCCTAGACGGGGCGCCCAAGAACCTCCGCTTTTTTTGAGCGGCTAGGCCTGGGCAATGTACCCAAGCCCCTAGATTTGCCTAGCAGCCGCCCAAGCGCTGGGCGGTCCGCTTTTTGAAACACTGCTAACAAACCCCAAAAAAAAAAAAAGACAGGAGAGAGGAGTTCGCCAACATCAAATCTTCATGGGAAACTCCATTCTTGGTTCGAGAGTCCCCTCATGATTGGACTCATGAGTGACATTGAAGAAAGAAATCACCAAACACTCACAAATCTCAGTGATCTAATGCAAAAAAAAGCAATCCTCCAAGCACGTAATGCCCAACAAATACTATTAAATGAGCCTCCTTCAGCCACTATTGATCCCCAGAAGCATCAAGGAGTAACCCAAGATCTAAAAATCACCTGAGCCTAACAGATAACGCCCAACTTCCACTACCGGAGTAACACTCTAAATAGGTTTCAAGGCACCTAGGATGTCATCTAGCTTGAACTTGAAACTGCAAATATCTCATATACCAGCTGGACCTTCATTACTGAAACAATTTCTTTCCGAGAAGAGCTTGATAGACCTAGTTCATGGCTTATTCCATAGTTGAACAACGTGGGGCTCTAAAGGCCTTATTAAAATCCCCTGATATCTGATAGCATGATAAGATCATCCATCCTAGTTCCATTGAAGACCATGAAAATTTTTAAATCACATAATATCTAAACAATTTCGTAACCTACTCAGAACTAGACAAACTTGTTGCTGAAAATCCTACAATTACACCATTTCCAAATTTCAATAGGAGATTCACCTTTGTCTCCAGCACCACCACGAGGATTCAACTCGTGGGGGCACTTTTCAAGACAATCGATAATTGATACGACTCTTGTTTCAAATATGAAGCATTCTACTGGAGATGGTAAGCTCGTATGCATTTTTTTCGATAGCGGAGCACATCTCCAATTTGACAAAACATGTACACTTTCTAGCAAAGAATCTAACTTTGACCACCACAAAACTAGACATTATTAATTTAGAAGACCAACATGCATCATGAAAAATTGCAAGTTTATGATATCACTAGAAATGTCTCACATGTTCCAGCGAGATTAGGTGGATTGCCAATATGTTATAAGAAATTGTGCTAGTGCATAAAATTAGGACCTAGTTTCTATGCGGCCAAGCCTGCATATGTAGAAATGCGGGCGTCTGAATAAATCTATTTTCGAGATGGATTTTAATACTTAATTTTTAAGGACATGTAATCTCTAAAATGGAGATCATGAATATGAAAAATAAATAAATAAATTTTAAAAACTAGAAATAATATTTCTACTAAGAAAACATTTGGACCGTTAGTTTCCATTGTTTTTAAGATGGAACACCTACTTGCATCCATCTTTAAGATGGATGCTTTACACTTTCTGGACCGCATATGTAGAATGCAATCCAGCCCCCATGAAACAATTTTCCATAAAATTATTAGTTTTACATCTGTCAGTTTATTATTGAGGAATATCATATGTGAATTCTTGAATCTTGAGAAAGTAATCTATCAAGAATTTTTCATAGTTATTATTAATAAGGAAATTCTTAGGAATTGCTTTTAAAAAATAAAAAATTAAAAGAAAGAGAAATCCAGATAAGCAAGAAAAAAAAAGAACAAAAAAACCTTAATTTTCCGAATTTACAGCTCTAAATAGCTTATTTTCTATAAGTCACCTTTTTATAATTTATTAACTTATATTTTTATTGTAAGTTGTACCACTCAAGCATAATCTTAATTTTCTAAAAATTACAAAATCCAATACCATGGAGAAAAATATATTTCCCAGAACTCTAGGAGGTTTCCAGTCCGATCCAACCAAAGAGTTCGTATCGTATAAATCGAACTACGGGTCGTGATTAGTCAATCAAAGAAACGTACAGAGAAGGAGGGCGCCTATATGTTCGCTGAACAGCCGGGCACAGTATAACAGTATGCGCTACTTAGTTAGGCAAACAGCATGTTCACTTGGTCGCCTTTGGTACTTGAATGGGCCCATTGTTCGCTTCTATAGTTCACTTAAAGCCTTTGGTGTGGTTGGAGTTTATGAACTACCAGCCCACTGATTGATAGCTTCTATAGTTCATTGAAAGCGGCCCCGCCCACTGTTGTTCACTAAAGGCCTTGTCTTTGGTGTAGTTGTTGTAGGAGGTTTAGTTGTTGAACAAAATGCCCGTTCCACCTTCTTTCTATAGAGTTCACTGAGACTTTTGTGTAGTTGACCCTATTGACTCAAGGTTAGACCCTCAACCTGAAGATAGGAACTGGGAACCAGGGATGCAGGCTTCAGTTGTTTTGTTTGGTACTTCTGTACTACTTATGGTATGGGCTTTTATAACGAGGCTTTTCTTCCTGGTTGATTCAAGGGCAGGCAGTAGTGATATGGAATAAGCAAGAAGGGAGGAGCTAATGCAAACAGAGCATTAGGAGCTTTTCAAGCTTGGGTTCATGCGGGAGATGGCCTTGGTAGAACTTGTCTTTGATATGGCTCGTCTTGACCGTGAATTTTGCTCATGCCTTCTTTGGATTGGGGGAAACGAATAAAGGAGCGGGTGTATAAGGAAGGAGAGGAATCGACTTGTGGTTCACACTT